GATATGGACGTGAGACTAGGAACTGAGTACCTTTGGTGCAGAGGATAATGCTTTTGCATGAGTTGGTGATGAACAAATATTTAAGTTTTAAGTTCATTTGTGTTTGAAGATTAAGGATTTTTAGGTATTGGTTCAGTGGGTAATGTTCTGGAATTGTTGGAACATATTTTGGTGGGTTTTGTAGAGTGGCGATGGGTTTTGTATGAGGCAAGTGAAGTGAATGTTTCTAGTATGATTAAATGGTTTTTATTACAAGGATCATATACAGGGGCAGATAATTGAATGCACATATATACACAGCAGTTTTTTGGTTGAGAATTTTCTAATATTATTGATTGGGCGAGGGTTTGAGATGATTTGCTCTTCAGTGGGACATAACAGTTTTGCAGTTCAAACACCACTTCAATAGATCTCTACCTGGACAGACCACCTCTTTAAGGTGGTCAATATGTGTGTGTCATTGGTGATGTTACTGAATCCTTCATGGGTTTTGGAAACCACACAATCACTGACTGCATAGCATAGGAACATTTCTTGGTAAACGTGCTTCACAGCTCAGTAATCTTCTGTCCTAATTATACGTTCATACGAAGAAAGCAACTCATCCAGTGAGGATGGAAGCACCTGATATACTGGTTTATACAGCCAATAATCCCTCAGTTTACCAATCTAAGGGCTATTACAATACCTGCCTTGAGCAGATATTGGAAGGAAGGATTTAATCCTTATTCAGCAGAATGTTTTGAGATTCACTAGGGAAAACACACAATGAGTCCAGAAAACTGGCATCATCTTATTCATTATTATATTTAACTCAATAACCATGACAACTAGCAGAAGTTTCAGTGTTTGTATTCTGAGATTAACATAGTTTGTTTATAAACAGCCATTTAAAAGTAGCAGCACACAAACCCAGTTATCAAAGGCTTACCATCTAATAACTGGCGGAGGTGAGGCAAAAACTTTACAGTGCAAGAATGCACTATAGCCCACAACTGTGGCATAGTCTTCACCCTCTGGGGTTAGCACTACTGGACTAACATCTGAAAAACAGAATATATATTAATGATATTGTGCACTGGACACTGAAGTTGGTAAGAAACATTTTTCAGAGCCTCCGACTCTAGTAATTGGATGACTGCAAGACCGAGAAATTCTGCACACCAGAAATACTTGACACCTCTGGGCAAAGGTACTTGAGCAGCTGCAGCCCAAAGAGGTTGATAATTGAAATGGGACATCAAGATTTCAATTATTTAATAACTAAATAATTTGTTGATACCTATACTATTAAGGGCAAGGTCCAGGTTCCATCCCTTTGGTTTCATTTTTTTTTATTCATGAAGTTACTACCAACCAATATAGCATGAGTGCTAGTTTAGATAAAAAAATGGGAACATAAGCAACCTTAGATCCTATCTACAAATTCTGACTGCAACAATATACCCTGAAGGAGCAAGAAGTTCGCAATGCCCTTTTCATAAACATCTTCCTATTGTGAGAGTACTCACTGATAACATTCACGTTGGCAGTCGCCAGGATGGTGCCATGCTTGTTCGTAGCTTCACACTGATACACGGCACTGTCCTGAAGTTGTAGGTTGATAAGGCTGATCTCTCTGGGAAGGATTTGGCCCCTGTATGTCCTCCCTAAAAGGAAACCAAATATACCAGTAGGATAAGGAGCCACTGTTATTACTACTGTTCCAGCAGTTCCATTTCAAATGCAAGCACAAGGAGTGTGTTATGTCCTCACCATTAGGCTAACAGTTGACCTGACAGACAGAAAACTGTCCTGGTAGACTAAACATGGGGCTGTGGCTACTCTGGTTACCAGCAGAATTTTTTAGAGCCCTTCATAAATATTTTACCATTGATGGTAGCTACACAGTTACATTTTGAAACATCTCTTCCAGGTATTTAGTGCCTGAGAAGGAACTGGGAAGGGGCAGAGCCCTTATGATTCAGCCACATTCTGGATGTCCTTATGACCACCAGTGCAGGTTCAGAAAAGTAGGGTGGTAAATCTCGGAGGCCAGCTAGTGCCACTAGAGTTGGATCCATATTCCTTAAAATGCAAACATTATATTAACTGGATGCAGTCAGTAAATTGAGGGAACTACTGCACAAGTCGTCTCTGAATTGTTGCTAATTCTACTTCCTTTGTTACCACTATGAAGTATTACCTTTGACCAAAACGATCTTCACAACACATTTGGATCAATAAGCCACTTTTGGCCGGGGGCACGGCACATGTGGAGCCTGGTAAAACGATATCTTGTCCTCTGCACTTACCATCAATGGGCATCCCATTAAGTTTCCACTTTATGGTTGGTTCAGGGTTGCCAATAGCTTGACAAAACAATACAAGATTTGACCCAACGCTGTAAACATTGCTGACAGGCTTCTTTACCCACTGAGGAGGTTCTGTTAAGGAGAGAAATAACATTTCAGCAGCCCTTACAACAAAGAGAAAAGTAGCAATGCACTCAAAACTGCTAAAACTATCATCTCCCAGCAGATGGCAAACTCTGTCAACTATTACTGAAGAAGAGTTTCTCTTAAAGAATATTGTATTAGTATGCAGTCATGTTTTATTTTGGCCTATACACTGATTATACTGGAGTAAAAAAATTGAGAAACCATCCTCTGTTCAGACTAGAACTGCCAAAATTAAATGTGAAGGAGAGGCTGTGGGAAGTGGGCACAATATATTTTGGGTATAAATGTCCACCGGTAAGTGATTGGCAACTGGCAGGTTGGTGAAAATGGCCAGGTTGGATGTATGTGTTTTTTCCATGAAGCCCTTCAAATGTGGGGTTGTTAACTCTGGAATGATATTTGGATATGTCAGAACAGCAACCAAAATGCAAAGTGTCCATTGAAACCAAATCCTCCCCACTTGAATGGAAGCATGTGGCTTCCACTGGCCTCAATGGGAGCTATGCACTGCTTCCAGGGAAGACCTGGCTGCAATGACAATATTTTCATGATTTCAACAGCTTGAGTTTAGGGATTGTGCCTATGCTTGCTTCCCTGCGTGGTCTGGATGGATTCCTGTGCTTTCTCACATTCTGCACATACTAACTACATCCATTGGGATCCATGGGGCCTCCCTTGATTGTCTTTGGGTCAATGAGAGGTCTAATGATTTCAGTGGCCTTGGACTAGTCTCTAATGGGCAGAGAGCAGTCATCACTCAAAAGTCAACAGTTGCACAAAGGTGTCCACATGGTGGAGCTGTGATCTATCACTAAATTTCCCTGTTATTAGATCAGGAACTAAATGCTATATTCTACCAGCAGGGTAACCATTATTTAAAAAAAAACCAAAAAAAAAAACCAACAACCAATGTTTTTCTAATAGCAAGCACTGTGTGTTAGTTAAATACTATATGTACTTCAACCAAAAATACAAAATGTGAGTGAGGGAGCTAACTTAGACATTTTTTTAAGCTGCAGAAAGAGTTTGTATGAAGTCTTGTGAAACCTTTCTGGTGTCTACAAAAGAAAGAACTCAAAGCCCTCCCACTGAAACTATATGAAACATGACTTTAAAAAATAATCTATATTGTTCTCTTCCCCTACTCCACTGTATGGTAAGGAAACAGTTGGTCTGAACGCAGGGCCCGGGAACTTGTATGTTTATGCTTACTTCTGACACTAATTCCATCTGAGGCCTTGGTTGAGTCCCTTGACCTCTCTCTCCTAGTTTTTTGATCTGAAAAAATGAATTAATGAATGCAGACTATGAGGATTAATTAGTTAATGTTCATAGAATACTCTGAAGATCAGCAGGACTATTGCTTATTAATATAGCTAGAGATCTGTTTGATATGACATATTAGAACCAAAAATAATTGCCTTTACATATATGCACTATTAATGACTATGGATAGGTGGTATGATTCAGTGAGAGATTCTATAAAAGTTCATGGTTTTCTACTGTACAGAAGTCTTTTAGGATGTCCTACAATGGTGCTTCTCAATCTTTTTAGACTCAAAGTCCCTCTTGTTACACTTGGCACACCACCTCAGAAAGCCACCCCTTAGAAATTACCAGCTCTATGGGTTTTTTGATGACAGAAAAATAATAAGCAATTCTTCTGTGGCAAAGAGCTCAGAAAAACCAAATAGGTCATAATGTTTTGGACATTATAGTTTCCTATTTGAAATCATCAGGTTTATCTTGTGAATCATGTTTGTACACCTAACAGTACAAACATTGCATGGGCACTCGGTGGCCACCCTTAAAAGGATCTCAGGAGGCTCTAGGGTGCCACATCACCTGGTTGAGAATCACTGCTCTGCAATGCTACAGGTAAAAGGACTGAAGTAAAACCCAACTTCAAATGTATCTAAAATATATATTGTATTCATACTGTATTCCATCGTATCCAGGCTCTTCTACTGCCTTTATCACCATACCATCTAGTAGTGCATTAAATAACATGCCTAACATACGTCGCATGACTTTTCCTCTCATCCTAAAATGCACACGGAACAGCAGGTGAGCAGGTTTTGTGACCATCCTTGGCTCTTGTGCAAATTCAGTCCATAAAGTGGGTCTAGCCCCTATGAAAGCTTTGTCTCCTATCCAAACAACTTGTGCTCTTTTACTAGAAAGTTTGGCTGTACCTAAGGAGCACTACTGTCAACCACAGTGCTCATGATGGAGCTATAGGTATCCCTTTAATTATGCTGGAGCTAAGAAAGGATCAAGACTACAATGAAATTATAGTGTCAACAGATAACCAGAGTACAGCTCAGGATCACTATCCATGGAGAACCTGTAGAAATAAACTGCCCAAATAAACTGAATATATGGTGCTAGTTTCTCCTTATACTCAGTTGCTAAACTGCTTTAAAACCAGAGCTAAAAATTCCTAGTCTACCTGCTTTTCTAATGCTGCTTTTCCAAATAAGAAATGGTTGCAGTTGCCTCAGGACATTATGTAACTGTGACTTCCTCCAAGTACTAAACTGCAGCCCCCTGCCTGAAAAAGCCCGAGAAATTCTTCTGGGGAAAGCGGAGGTGCATTGGAGATAGCAAGGAAACAGGAACCTACACCAAGTGCTTCTACAAAATCCAAAAGTCATCTCTTCACACGAGCAAAATTGGTAACTGTGGACACAAGAAGCACTTCAGTCAAGACTGGAGCCCCATTATAGTATGGATTGTATTGGGCAAAACATTTAGAGGTTATATGATTATGTTAAATTATAATCAGAAACCCCTGAAATCCTGAGACTTTTTTTAAAAAGGACTTTCCCTATCGGTATTTCTGTGCCTACTCCACTGTTCCCAGCTAACCTCTTCTCAGAGAGAGATTAAAACATTCAAGCAATCAAGCAATTTCCTGGCTGAACATATTTGTGGTATTATGTTTGTTAATAATCGCCTGAATCTTTGCGCTCAGTGCATTGTAGGATAAATAAGTGGGCTGCATGCAAATACTGGCACCTGAAAATGCTGTTATGACAAGTAGGGTTTGGTTTTCTCATGCCCAAATATCAGAAAAAAGAATGATAGGTATGAGACAGGAGAAATGATAACTTGGTTCTGATCTATGAATTAGCAATAGGAAAGAGAATGGGTGGAGTAGCAGAAGTAGTGAATAAGAGAGATAGTCCTTCTACTTTACATGTGAATTTTATCTTCCTGTGTGCACCCTTAGAGAAGAGATTATCAGATCCTCAAGTGCTACCTATCAGCAAACTCCAGTGAAATCAACTGAAGTTAACAAAGCTACCTTCACTTACCCCAGGTAAGTATCTGCCCTGAATATGTATGTAGAAGATGAGAATGAACATGTTCTCATAAATACACTGCCAGGCTGTGCTGTAGATGATTACACAGTCCGGTGGGTGGCAAATTGGCTTTGGGGTCGCACCCAGACAGTGGTGGTGGATGGGTTGGGATCGACCTGCAAAGATGTGGGCAATAGAGTCCTGCAAGGCTCGGTCCTTGGACTAATGCTATTCAACGTCTTCATCAATGACTTGGAGGAGGGTATGGAGAGCACCCTGTCCAAGTCTGCAGATGTTTCCAAATTATGGGGCAAAGTTAACACACCAGAGAGTAGGGAATGGATCCAGGTGGATCTGGACAGGTTGGAAAAATGGGCAGAACTAAATAGGATGCAGTTCAACAAAGACAAGCACAAAGCACTGCACTTGGGCCAAAAGAGGCACTAACACACTTACAGGCTGGGGGAGGACCTTCTCGGCAGCATGGCAGTGGAAAGGGATCTTGGAGTCATAGCTGACTCCAAGATGAACATGAGTCGTCAATGTGACAAAGTGATCACCAAGGCTAACCGCACTTTATCATGTGTTAGCAGATGCATGATGAACAGGTCCAAGGAGGTGATCCTTCCCCTGTATGCGACATTGGTCAGGCCACAGTTGCAGTACCGTGTCCAGTTTTGGGCACCACACTTTAGGAGGGATGTGAATAGCCTTGAGAGGGTCCAGAGGAGGCCGCTCATATGGTCAGAGGCCTGCAGGCAAGGGCTTATGAGGAAAGACTGAGGGACCTAGATATCTTCTGCCTTGGCAAGAGAAGCCTGAGAGGTGATCTTGTGGCTGCCTATAAATTCATCAAGGGAGGGCAGCAGGGAATAGGAGATGCTCTATTTACTAGGGCACCCCCTGGAGTAACTAGGAATGATGGCCACAAATTGACGGAGAGCAGATTTAGGTTAGACATCAGAAATAAGTTTTTCACAGTAAGGGTTGCCAGAAAGGAATGGGCTTCCAAGAGAGGTGGTGATCTCCCTTACCTTGGGGGTCTTCAAGAGGAGACTGACCCCAGCGCTCTTTCCTGCCCAGGGCAGGGGGCTGAACTCGATGACCTACTGAGGTCCCTTCCGACCCTAACGTCTATGAATCTATGTTGAGCTGTGATTAACGTTAGTGACATCATTCAAAACCGAATAAAAGGAGAGTATTTGACCTCAATTTTATGCCAATATGCCACATGTGAGGAGACTCTTAAAAGATGGAATTCCTATTAGTAACATCAACCTACATGATAGAGAAAAGGGTTTAAAAGCTCACATAAAAGCATTTCTAATACAATATGGTGATTATTAGGGGTTTTATTTGGTGGGGGGGAGTTATGGTGGGGGTTTTGGAAGGGTGGAGAATTGCTTTTTAATTATAACAGAATTGATAATTAATCAGGAAGCTTTGGTCCCTGTAAAAATCTGGGGGTCAACATTCTCAACTGTTTAATTAACGTAATTTCTCTGGTACACTACTTTTTGCTGCTCCTGCAATTCCTTTGAAAGCTGCAATTTTTAAAGCTGAAAAAACCATGGGCAGATTGTTAAAATATTCAGCTACAGTAGAGATGTTCCAAACCATCTGGAATGATTTCTGGGAGTCAGCAACTTCCCATACAGTAGCAGTTGCAAACTCCCTGCAACCTGGTGGCCTACTCCCCCTCCTCCATCTCCCCTCTGACACAACGCACACACTTGGGAAAAGCAGCACGTACACAAAACAGGATTGTGTTTAATGGTCAAATAATGTGACAAACGGCTGTTCTGTGTGTTAACAACTGAATGCAGGGTAGGCGTTCGCAAGGCTTTATTCCTTTCGGTTATTCCTTCCTGTGAGGAGCGAGAAGAGATGGGGCGGCAGAGATTAAAATCAAGCAGTTGGCAGATGTGGATGGTTTAATACTGTATGAGCACATTTCTCTCTGCAGAGTGGAGGTTTTTATTTATTTTTTTTTTTCCTTGACGCAAGTGAAAAATGTTGTTGCCAAGTCTTTCAATTAGGTTTCTACATCCTCATTCAGGAGCCTTTTTTTTTTTTTTTTGGGTGTCTAAACCAAACGAGCAGCTATGCTAGCAGAGCTGAAAGAGCAGCATTACCAAGAGACCCCTCTGAAGGTTTTATTCTGCCCTGTGGGAATGTATTGTGAGCCCAAATATGACTCTACACCTGGGAATAAGGAGTCACCACATTTTTCTGCATTGCCTGCATCACTACAGCTTGCACAGGAAACAAGGCTATAAAAGCATAAGGCATCAAGCTGCTACTGCTTCCTCCTGGGCCGATGGCAGGTTGGGGCAGGAAGAACGTGGAGTGCCCCCCCTTTTACAGCTTTCCAGGGGCCAGAGGAGAGGTAACCTCCTCCAGAAAGGGGGCTGAGGTGCACCACTGACCAGGAACACTGTAAATCTTAGTCCGGTACCTGTTTTGCTCCTGAGGCAACAGAGCTACACATTGAACTGCCCTATAAACTCTGAAAGAGGAGCACCTATTTGTCATTTCAGCTCCTCTAAACCACTTTGGTGCATTGCTTTTCTGTTGCTGGGTAAACACAGCGGTCCCTGGCACACGTTAACCAGTTATTCATGTCTTAAGTTGTTACCCGGCCAGGCGTTAATGCAATGAATGGAGTCATAAAACAAGGAATAAGCCACAAAATTATGACACAAAAAAAATGTGTCATAACTTTGTGGTTGGTTCCTATCTCACCATTAACTGAATGTGTGGCCAGGGTGGCCACGCTGATGCAGTTCCTAGCCCCCGGGGTGCAGCATGTGCCCTCATGCCTGGAAGCTCCAGCAGGTGACGGGGCTCCCAGCTGCAGAAGCTCGCTACCTGCTAGTGCAGGGGGATTGTGATCCTGGCTCCCATTGAACCAGCAGTAAGGTACAATGGGATCCAATACTGGATCCCACAATCACACCCCCTGCCATGCACATGTGGCATAGTAGAAAGTATGACTGTGGAGATCCCACAGCAGATCCTATTGATCCTTCCCTTGCCCATCTTGCCAGGGGCCTCTCTGACTCTGACTCTTCATTTGTGTGTCTGGAGACTATTGCAGGATATAACGACAACATCATTAGTAGTAGCAGTAGTATCCTTATCAGTGTTCATAACTGTTGTTAAGAATAACAGCAATAACATGTTAATAGCAAAGGCAGCTACTGCTATTATTATTAATTGTTCTGTAAGTGTTGGCAGTATCCCTGTTCTAACGAGTTTACAGCCGACAGAGATGAACAAAAGAAAGTCCGCTAGCAAACTTCAAGGCTGGTGTGAATAGAGTGCACACTTAGTGGAGGAGAAGATGTGTCAGGCATGTAGGAGTGTGTGAAAGTCAACTCTGGGTTTTCAGTGGGAGGATGTCAAGTGGGCATAGAGATAAGCCAGATCAGCAACATAAAATATGAGTGTGGGAGTGTAGTTATGGCAGGAGATATAAGCAGAAGCAGAGTCCTGAGGCTGAGGAGTATTAAGCGTGATGTGGAAGGAGTCAAAGAAACGATTGAGGAGTTACAGTGGTAGGAAATACAGATAATTTTCTGGCAGAGCCATTTTGAGCAAACTGGAGGGAAATGAGGCAAGTGTCAGGCCAGAGGAAAAGAATATGAAATTATTCACACTTCTTAATTGGTGATAAATGTGATTAATATGAGGGAGACTAACCATCAGTAACAATGTTTCTGTGAAGCCTTATAATCTGTTAGTCTTAATTTATCCTGTTTTTGTAAGATGTCTTCAAATTCTCTCTAAATACAGAGATTGTTTTTGCAACTTATTCAATGGAGTGAGAGAAGCCTGCTTAAATGGTGTCTAGATCTGGTCCGAAACTACCCTATTTCACATCAATTTAAAAAACAAACCAACCCGAGTTTTATAGATGTTATGGCCTGATGATGCAATTACATCATCTAACCTGACATCCAATATAACACAGGTGGTAGAATTTATGTTTCAACTAAAACAGATCTTAATAGTTATAGCCATATGTTTATTAATGGCATAGCATGGGAAACCCAGATATTAACGGTTGAAGAAAACATCAGTTTTCATTCACTTTCACGTGACGCAGAACAAACTTCTTGAGAGATGAGGCCCATTCCTCAGCTGTATTAATTAATGCAGTACCACCAACTCAAATGCAATGAGGCAACATTATACCAGCTGCGATTCTAATTTGTTACCTCGTGACTGCCCATTTGGTTCAACATATAAAACTACTTAAAAATATATGGAGCACCTTCCACATGGACACGGAACTCATGTTTCACGCTCCCCACAGAATTGCTTGCCGTGCACAGGTAAGTTCCTTCATCGGCTGCGGACACTTCTCCTATCTTCAAAACTTTTCCGTAATTTTCCGTCGCTGCTCTGTCCTCGGGCATGTCTCTACCAACTCTGTTCCAGATTAGAAGAGGAGTTGGGCTATTGGGAAAAGAAAGAAAAAGGATGCGGAGGGGTTATTTTAGTTTAGGGTGGGTTTTTTTAGTCTGATGTGTGTGGGAGAATGGGGATGGCTGAAGCTGTATCTTAACCCTCCACGGTCAGCATAAGAAATAATGACCGTTTATGCAGCCCCTTTGTGAGAACGCGTTTGCAGAATTCCCCCACATGCCCCTTTGTGTGCACAGCTTGCACATTTTCCCCATTCAGACACCCAGCCTGGAGCTTTTATATTGTTCATGGCTTGTACTGCCTCTTGGTTAAAAGGAACCCATGTTCAATGAATCCTCCACTGCCAACAGCAGGTCATGACACACGTTTGCATACCTTGTAAATATATTGGCATGAACCGTAGCAGAGGGACTGAAGCTTGTTTGTCCTATTCCATAAGGGCCCTTGCAGACAGTCAAAGGGAAATGGCTTCATTAAAATGACTTTGCCCAGAACCCTGACTGATCAGACCAATTTCTAATCATATGCTGGATATGCCTGAAAAACGTACTTTATGATATTAGTAAGTTAACGGTCTACTTGGAACCAGAGACACAGAAACTCAGGACAGACTGTTGTCTGAACAGTCCCAGCTGGGTTCCCTGACCCCAGCACCAGACATGATGCACATACACAGCGTCATATCTGCTTACTCTCATGTCCATCTGTTAAGATGGCAAAATGCCCAGGCACAAGTTACTCAAAGCCCCAGGTACCAAGAAATTATGGTTTTCTATAAGCAGCATACATAACAATGACAGTGTCATATTGCCTGTAAGACTTCCCTTTGCTGATATTGTACAGAAGCAATGACACACTTAAACTCCTTGCATTTCATTAATGCTGCTGAGACCAGTTTAGATCTTTGTGACATACCAGGAAGACTGCTTTAAATAGTTTAGAGATGGGTAAAATTGGTCACAAAAAGACAATGTGAGGATGGTCTTAGTTGCTTTCGTTTTTTTGACTGTCCTGAGTCTTAGGTGCTTGATAATTACATTTTTACAAAGAAGTAGACTGGGTACATTGAACCGTTTCATAAAATGGAAGTATGGTAAGAATAGAATTGGAGCTGATTAAATTAATAAAAATATTTTTTTTCCTCAAATCCATTCGATGTTTCTTTTGATTTAAAATGATTACTAATATATGGGGGGTTTTGGTGAGTGAAAGTACTCTCTTTCTCTCTGTCTCTCTTTTAAATCCAACTTCCATTTCTTTTTAGTATAAAAAAAATACAAAATAGAAGGAGCATGAGTACTTTTTTTACCCTGCAAAACAGGGCTTTTTTTCCCCCTTGAAAAAAATTCATTTGAATGCTTTATTGGGAAATGAAACTGAAAAATATCATGGTAAAATTAATTAAAAATGTGAATTTAATTTGTTTCATTAAATTTACTACTCCTATTTTTTTACCTGCTCTAATTATAGCTCATTAGAAAAGTCCTACAGGGAAATAAAAAGAATAAATCCTTATTTATTCTTGCTTCAGGCATGTCATAATTTCCTTGCTTTCCCGAACCTAAAAATGTACACTTTTATATAAAAATAAATCTACTGGATTTTTATGGCTCACGGGCATATTTGGCCATTTAGACAAGATGTACTGCAAAAGAGAATAAGAATAAGAATCCATTATGGTTACTTGGCATGAATCCAACAGAGAAGTCATTCACTTGCTTTACAAAAATGGCAACCAACTGCAGAGACACAATCTTGCCAATTCAAAAGTGACTGATGCCCTATCAGTAGGGGCCTACCTAAATTGCAGCAAGACAAAAGGATTTTCATGGGCCACTTGTGACACGTGGAGCCTATTACATGGCCTCTGCGGTGAGCTCCCCTTTGCCACTGATTGGCCGAGAGGCAAAAACTGCGGCACAATTAAATAGCAAAGTTCATGAACATATCAAATAAATGGCCACCTTATTATAAATCTAAGTACTGAATTTAAATCTAAATTGAAATATATTGTGAATATAAATTTATACAATATAAATTGTAACTAATATCATCATAATTTATTATGTGTTTGACAAAAAGTTTAACAATGATAAATAATGCTAACCTTAATAGAAACAATTCATGTTAGTTGTTAAATGATAGCATTCAGCACGCACCAGCAGTTGCAGTTGACCTCCTCTGTCTCTGTGCTATGAACACATGTCCATACACTGAGATTACACTTTCTGCATCCACCGCATTGGTTGGGATGGTAGGGCAGGATTTTGCCAAGTTGTGAAGATGTGGAAACCGATCAGAAACAGACTCCCAAAACGTAGTCACAGTCAAAGGCATCTGACACACTGACAAAGTCCATGTAAGCAGCACATTCCTTGTCATGCTCTCTCTGCTATCTAGGGATTGATTTTAGTTGCTGAGGATCAAAACTCAGAAAAGGCACCTGACTGGGGTAAAAAATGTGAACAGAACTATAAAAAAGAGGCAGCTAATAACTTAAACCAAGGTGGTAATGACTAATCATACTTGTAGTACTGATTCAACTTCGCAGCTATGGCCTGCAAACGCTCTTGTCTCTGCTGGTTTTCACACCGACAGTTTAAAAGTTGCCGTGACCCAACTTATCAAATCCATCAGCTCGTGTGCTTGGTGGATCAATGCCTGATGACATTCAAACCATGTTAGAAGCTCCATGAACCCTATTGCATTTTCAGCTGCAAACTTCACTTGATCTTTAATGTCACTCTGTCTTAAGAGTATAGTATAAGCGTGCGCTGTGTGCCAGGAGTGATTTCAAGCTCCTCGCACACAAGTTGCTGGTAGTACTTCGTACTCTTTGTGTGATAACAAAGTGTGTTAAACCATGAATTCCACCTTGTAACCATTAGCTCTGCTGGAAGTGTTTCAGTTTTGTTCAATATCTTCATCAATGACCTGGAAGACGGCACAGAGTGCACTCTCAACAAGTTTACAGATGACACCAAACTGGAGGGAGTAGTAAATATGCTGGAGGGTAGGGCTAGGATTTAGAGTGACCTAGACAAATTGGAGGATTGAAACAAAAGAAAGCTCATGAGGTTCAACAAGGACAAGTGCAAAGTCCTGCACTTAGGACAGAGCAATCCCATGCACTGGTGCAGGCTGGGGGTGACTGGCTGGGCAGCAGCTTTGGAGAAAAGGACCTGGTGGTGACAGTGGACAAGAAGCTGAATAGGAGTCCACAGTGTGTTTTTGTTGTCAAGAAGGCTAACGGCATACTGGACTGAATTAGTAGGAGCATTGCCAGCTGGGTAAGGGAAGTAATTATTCCTCTCTATTCAGCACTGGTGAGGCCACATCTGGAGTACTGTGTTCAGTTTTGAGCCCCGCACTATAGAAAGGATGTGGACAAATTGGAGAAAGTCCAGCAGAGGGTAACAAAAATGTTTAGGGGGCTGTGGCACATCACTTACGAGGAGAGGCTGAGGGAACTGGCCTTATTTAGTCTAGAGAAGAGAAGAAAGAGAGGAGATTTAATAGCAGCCTTCAAGTACCTGAAGCAGGGTTACAAAGAGGATGGAGCTGGGCTGTTCAGATGACAGAACAAGGAGCAATGGTTTCTAGTTGCAGCAAAGGACATTGCAGTTGGATATTAGATAACTTTCTCACTAGGAGGGTAGAAAAGTACTGAAACAGGACATCCAGAGAGGCTGTAGAAACTTCATCCTTGGAGGCTTTTAAGACCTGGGTAGACAAAGCCTTGGCTGGGATGATGGGGTTGGGGATGGTGCTGCTTTGAACAGGTGGTTGGACTAGATGATCCTGAGGTCCCTTCCAACCCTCATTTTCTATGAGTCTATGATTCTAAGTGATGCAGTTACATGTAGGTCCCAACTTTGATTGGCAATGCATTCTCTGTATTGAACCTTACAGCCTGGACAATATTTGAATGTTTTTCAAAAAAAGGAAACCAGACTATCAACATCAGGAAAATATATGTGCCAGATGTCACTTACTAAAGAAAGGACGTGTGCATTGCAGGTAACATGAACTGTACAGGGCATCTTTCCATGGGGCACATTAGAGCAAGCGTTGCACATATACATGGCATTATCAGGTAAAAATGCTGCAATCTTGTTACGTTCTAAGCTGTAGTTTACTGCGGCCTTCACTACAGCTTGTGCCATGGTAGAAAAATAGACAGATGTGAAGTGAACTGGCTCTGTTTGAGGAAGAGGCAGGTTGCAGTCTTTCCAGCTCCCAGGTACAAAGAAAATGTTCAGAACATAGTTATCTTGGGCACCTGTTGCTTTGTCTGCTGCAATCGAGATTGACTCATATCCTGCCAGTGCAGATCTTGTAGACTGAACATGCGAAGCAATTACTCCTGGTGGATAATCTTGGTGAAGCTTGTATGCACATGGGAAACTGCCAGAGTTTGGGACGTATTTGTTCAGGTAGTCCCTTAATTTATTGATTTTCTCCAGAGGTATGTTGGCAGCTATTAATGCCTCCACTAGTGCGAATGTAGCCTCTCTTCTTGTCAGACTTCTTTCAGCGGTTTGTTTAAAGACTGAGGACATAGTCACTTGTTTCTTACTCTGACCTTCAGCCTCTGCAGAATCCTTTCACATTATACATAATTCGGACTCCAAATGCGGATCAATGCTGTTTTTTCTTGACACATCCAGTTACGTTGTATGATGAATGTAACAATTTACCACCGTCTGCATGCAAATTTCCTATAGGGAGCTGCCTTACAGGATCCTGGACTGAAAAATATTTAGTTTTCTTGGATTTCTTTTCACTCATGATCTCCAGTCTGCAGCACTGCATCTGGTCTCTTAGAAGATGGCACTGAAACCCTTTTCGCTTTCCTGACTGGCGCCTTCGCTGAGTCTAGATCTCTAGCTCAGCTTCTCAGTAGCTCTCTCTCAAACCACGTGCTCTATGGCTTCAGGGATTGCTGTGCTTTCTTTGCATTCCAGTAAACGCTTATATTTTTAAGAGTGATTCTGCACAAAATCACGAGAAATGCCATTTTTCACGGTGATCACAGAACCCCGCATTTTTCTCAGTTTCTGTGAAAATGGCAAAGCCACGATTTATGTAGGTCCCTACCTATCAAGTCAGCATGGACAAACAAGGTGCCCCAAACATGTCTGTTCAGAAAGATAATCATCCTGACTTTGAGGTTTGTAGTGGGTAATAATTGTATGCACTCTAATATGGATGATCTCTCTACTAGCTGGTCAACAAACAACGATACAGAGTCTGACACTACAGGTTGAAAATAGCACCATTTAAAACCCTGTTCAACATAGTCACGTATAAACCAGAAGAAGCAAATACTTTTCCCTTCTAGGTTCAGTGGCTGCAGGATTTTGAACTTTTTCCAATGGCAATGCTTTTAGGGCAGAATACTGCATGCTAGCCACAAGATAAAGTGATAATCAGGATGGGGAACATAGATGAGCTTGACCCTGTACTGTTGATAGCACTGCTGTGTTGCTACTCCTGCCCTGGAGCAGAAGTAGGGTTTAGAGACCTTCACAAGCAATCATCACAGCATGATGAGAGCTGCACTTAAACTGGTATCTAGTTAACCTTCCCTCTTCTATACTGCTTCTGTTCTACGCCATTGAGAATAAAGAGAAGGTACTTGCTAGACAAATTTTGCAGATAAGACGTTGTCTTCATTCTGGATCTAACCAAAACCCCTTGGTTTGGTTAGATCTAGTAGAGCATCACATTAGAAATATCTACTATAGTGGTATTAAGGAAGGTGTTCTGAGAACATGAAACTTAATTAAATTACCAAACCTTTCCCATAAGAAACAAAGAGGTAAAATCTGAACTGGCTCAAATAGGAAAGAAAAACAGAAAAACTGCCAAACCTTGCAAGTAAAATGTGATGTTATTCAATTCATAATGTGTTCAAATGCAGCATAACTGTCGGTGGTCATCATATTGAAGCATCTGAAGATAAACTTAGTCTAGAATAATAAAGATGGTATCTAAATTCTCATGGTAAATGGTTTTTTTTCAAATATATGGTCCTAAAACTTAAACATTAATAATCACCTTCTGAGTTTTCCATTCTAGCTCTGTGCTACATTATAAGAAGTGTAACTTTCTTTAAAGAGAACCCAAAGAAAAAATTTGATGTAAAAACATGCATCGGTTGAAGGTAATATAGCATTGCTGCTTCCTTTTCTCCCAATTCACTCCAGAAGACTATTAAGCATAAGCAATACTCACAGCCCTTCAGCGATGCATTCAAGTAGCAGGACCCCCCCTTTGATGACAGTGACTAACGAGCTAATGCCGGAAGATTCAGGTGGTATCAGCAGTTTGGGTTTTCGTTCCTTAATAAAGTTTGCTAAAAAACGAGAAAAGAGAAGATTCAGACTTTCTCAAGAAAAAGGTTTCTACACACCCCTGAATTTTCCTAGTCACCTTTACCCTGTGGCACAAATGCTGTTGCTGTCGGAAGATGGTTGGAGTATATATTTAGTATTTTCTTAGATTTTATACTAAGATGCTTTGTTAAGAGGTCTATCCACTTATATTATCTGCTTATATTCAGAGCACAACTACAGTAACGAAAGTAAATGCAAAAATGTTAGAACCCCCTTGCTTCCTAAGCTTAAGCATATGCATAACTTTATCACAAGAGTAATTCCAGTTTAAGCCAGTCTTTGAGAAATAGCTGGAACGAAGCCATGCTATAGAAACGGCTCCTATCTCCAGTTGATGTTGTGGGTGTCTCGATTAGGCAAGCATGCGCAGATGCAAACAAGTTGGCTGGTACATGAAATCCTAGTTGCAGATGTTGCAAGTTGCAGCACGTGACTCCCAGATGATGCGGGGGTGAAGGTAAGCTGCACTGTTCCGACTCTGTTGAAATCCCTTGTGTACTTTTCAGTCATAACCTAAATTCTTGTCTTTTTGAGCAACAGTCTGAAGAAAAATTACTTTCCCACTTCACATGACCTAAGAACATGAACTCATTCCCTTCTTGACTGCCTATCAATATCCCATCCAAAATTTCCTGCCATGCCTTGAAAACTCTCCATGGATTCATTCCAGCCTCCCTCTGTCTTGATTGCCAGGCAATTCCACCTGCTTCTCTAGTATTTTCCCCTCTCCATTTCCTCTTCCCCCACTCTTGTCTCAGACACAAGGGCAATTTGGTACATGAATCTTTCCCATTAATGTTCTTGCCACCTGCATTAGTCTACTGTCTTCCTTCTTCATTGAATCTCCATCTTCCTTCCAAGCTCAGCTGAAAACATACACCTCAGAATTCATCCTCTCTTCACAATTGTAAAAAATACAGTAACTGAGGAATGTATTTTGTGATACTCTTTGGAAGAAAGACACTGTTTAACTGTTAATAAAACTCTATTGTGTAAAAAAAAAAAAAAAAAAAATGTTTCAGGTGATCATTTACTCGACCTACAAAAAAAATCAATATGTTCTTTTACAACATCATTGTAACAATTCATAGTGTTAATGACTATTCAATAATCATTAATAATGAATATGTTATTCCAATGTTCACTGGTTCTTCAAGAAAAGTGGTTTCCTTATAACTTAGTAAAAAAAATCATTTCAAACCATTTTTCTTCATTTTTCTCCCGTTCCTTGAAAATGTCTATTTCTTTATATTTCTATCTACCACCGAGTGCATGTGCAAATGCAAGATTCCAAGGCCAAGATTTTTAGAAGTGACTAGTCACTTTGGATGTCCATCTCAAGGCATGTGAAAGCCATCCAATTTTCAAATGCTGTTGAATACTTACTCTCTGAAAAATCAGGATTTCAAGCTGGATATTACAAAAACCTGAGGCAGTCAAAATTAATTGTTACTTTTGGAAAACATGGCCATAATTTTTAAATATTTCCCATGCTAACAGTATTTAGGGATGATTAAAGACTCTGGTGAGAAACAGGATATTTGTTTTAGTTATGCGCTACAGCCCTTGTGCGTCGAACATCAGCAGAATATTCCAACATTTGCCAGTCAGCAAAGCTTCTTCATGGCTCTGTGGCTTTCAACTACTTTTGAAATCACTTCTTTGATCAGGAAAACTGCCAGTTTGGAAAAATAATTTGTATCAGTCCGGGCCACTTGTCTTTCTTCTATTACATGGGATAATAGAGTTGTTGTAGTGATAAGGAAATACTTCACACCTCAGTCAAGAGAGGCAAAAGCCTGAATATGTGCTGTTCTATATATTGCTTATGTCTGGATAACCATCTGAAGCTTTCTCTGAGCAGTAGCCAGTATTTCATCTCAGCTAATGGGATATTTCATTTTAATGAAGCCTCAGATTACCCATCTCGAATATTATTGCTGCAATTCAAAGACTAACTAACAAGCAAGTACATTCAACTCACCCTTAGTAACAGCAGCATTAGGGGAGCCTGAGTCATTAGTGTGCTTAACTGAAATAAACAAAAATGAAAACCAAATGCAAACATAAGTGTTTATACGGCGTCAAAAAGAAGCAACAAAACAAACAAAACAATCGGGGAAAAAATGGATACAGTTCTTCCTTAAAAGACTTGTCAACGACAGCTTACAGAAAACAGCCAAAATAATAGACTGCAAATGAGAATGAGAATTTCTGTACATGTAATGAAACATTTAAAAGATACAATATTCAGGCAAATGTTCCTTAACTAGCAATTCAAGCAGAGTTAACAGACCAGAGGCCTCCATTACAACCCTGTCCCATTAAAATGCTGTCCCTTTTTCTTGCTGGCTATCTACCTGTCGTCTTCTTTTCGATGCAGCGGCTTGCTAAGGGCTTGTTGCTGCACAGAGTCGAGCAGTCTGCTCTTGATTCAGCAAAGGACTTAAACAGGAGCTTCGCTTTAAGAATATGCATAGGTCTACTGGTTTCAAGCAGAGTGTATGCAGGCTTAAAGATCTCACTAGCTTGGGTATTCAGAACCGTATATATGATCAAACCTTACACTAATGCTCTAATCTGAGCTTCGTGACCGGGCACACTGAGAAATTCATAGAGTTCAGTATCTAATTCTGATATTTCTTTCCTCATAATTAATACGCTAAAAAAAAAAAAAAAGTTTAAACAAGCATTAAAATGAAGAAGTGATGCTGGATTCATATATACTTTTGTCAAAACAACCCCCTCTTCCACATATTAATGCTTTAAAGTTTGGAAGAAAATATCCTTTATTTGTATGGATAAAGTAGGCCCAAAAAGTCAAAAGAATGTGATGCAGCCAGCATGGCCAACGTGAAATACTGCTACAAGTAACAAATCCTTAACGTTGTTGTGCCTGAATGAGATTCAAGTATGGCAAGTCATTTTGTGAGCTCAGAAGCTCAGGCGTCCGATTCATTTCTTCTTTTCCTTGAAGACTTACTCAAAAGTGGAGGCAAACGGCTCTCCATGGCTGAGCTCTGGGGTAGGCTTTTTCAGGTACAAACCAAGAACTACAGGCTGTAACTCCTTTCAAGTTTTCTGACATCCGGTCAGCCAAGTGAGAGCCTCTCTCTCTAATGGGACGCTTGGGATATACTCCAATCACACTAACCGGAGGTCCCTAATGCCATTCTCCAAACCCTGATTGTCATATCCAGGCAAAGCCAGTGCTTGGGCTCAAGGGGGAGGAGGCGGTATGAAATGCCTAATGATGCACTTGTGAAAGGAGTTGATTTCCCTGATGCATCGTGATTAGCTTTCATAGTGATGAAGAACAGGAGGGAGGACAGCAACGCTTTTGAAACCCAACAGCTGCAGAAGCTTTTATCAGTTGGACCTACCCCTTAGAGTAAGGTTAATAATGCAGGAACAAACATATTAACATGCGTTTTCTTCAGAGAGAATCAGATTAGAGACACATGGCAGGCATCTGCCTTTAGTGACAACTGGGGAGTTAAACAGGGGAGGAGGGGGGATCCCATCCCACAGACTTACAACGTGTTACCCGCAGCGTCATTGGCATTTTCTGGACAATTGTCCTCAGTCTTGGAAACGCTGCAAAGCAACAATAATCGCTTCGACTGTCATTTTCTTCTACATTTGCAAAGTACAGATCCCCCTTAAGGCTCATGGAGACCCTTGCATCTTGTGGAATGTGTTGCAAATCTAGGAAGAAAAAATAATTATGATATGGTAATGATACTCAGCCATGCCCCTAATAGGAGGATTTATACTTCCAGAAGAAGCAGAATGGCCAGTGCAACTAGTGAGTACAAAGTTCCGGGCTAAGCTAAATTGCTGTAGCCTTTAGCCACATCATAGGGCCACATTACCCAGGGCTGCTTGTTTGATCTGGAGAAAGAACTCATGTAAACATTGTACAGAAAAGCAGGATTCACTGTACAGTTTGCTCCCTGTATCTTAATGATGTGATCGTTAGGGTATAATGCAGTAAAAATTCCTTGTAACATCGGCCTGCAACAGTGCCACTGACAAGATGATTTGCAGGTTTTTGGTGAGGAAAAAAAAAATCAAACCTATGATTCTTTTTAATGACACATAATATAAAAGAACCACTACATAATGTAGTGGTTGTGTTGGTTTATTGTTAAATGAGACAACGGTAAGAGAGTATTAATTTTTTTTGTCAGGAGTATGGCATTTACTATAAAAGATCAGATCAGTCTGGGACCTTTGCCCCATTGACATTAACAGGAGTTTGTCATTGGCTTTCATGGGTGACAATTTTACCTTAGACACTCAGACAGGATGGTAACCATATCCTTAAAAAAGCCAAAAACGGAAAGCTCTTCCTAATTTTGTTAACTGTCCTATCCTGATGTAAGAAGGTTTATATCACTGACATCCTCTTTACTGTGGCTGCAGTATTTTTATTATCCTCTTTAAAATCCTTTTGAGCTCTCAGACTTCATACTTTATGTAAAAATAAATGTATCTTAAATCGATTTTAAAATTTGTTTGGCCTTCAATTGTATTGCCTGCGTTGTAGAAAGGATGAAGATCAGCACCTCTTCATCTTTGTTGTCTGGTGTTACAAGTAGTTACCCATGTTTCTAGCTCTTATTATCACCTATCTCTGAACTTCATCTATCTTCTAAGACAGGAAGGCCAAAACTGAAATACTAGATTCCAGTTGAAGCCATGTCACAAATTAGAGGATCACATCATAATAGTTCAGTTTTTGCTTTTATTTCATTCATTAATCACTTGTAGAAATTTTGCCTCTGGCTTCAGTAGAATCTTGATTTCATGCTCCACCATTTTCCTTAAGTTTTAGTTTCCTGTGGTGCACCAGGAAAAAGTTTTCTTTGAGCTATCAACGATGACAGCCAAATCCAGTTGCAGACCGATGTGGGGGGGGGGGGGGGAGAGTCATGGCCCCTGGGCTTGCGGGGAACGCCAGCCAGGCCCTGCAGAGCTCTTATCTTGTGACGTGACTTAATGTATTACTACAAGAAGGACACGGGGTGGGAGCAAACGCAAGCAAATGCAAGCATTGGCCCCCGGGCACTGGAGACCCACGGTATGTCACTGCTTTTCTGAATGCTTATGGGTGCAGACAGAAATGCAGCTCTCCTCTGTAACTCAAAATGCTTTGCAGGATGCGTTCTGAATTACAACGATCCCCCGGACCAAACAGAAGTTCATTGTTGGTTCCAGGGGGGAGCAAATCTAGCAGCCGATTTCCCCTAGCAATGGCCCTTCCTTCCTCCCACTAGGTGCTGTTTTCAGAATGGGAGGGGGGAAAGGGAGCTCATTCTAGTACTGGAGGGTGGCATGAGTGACTTGGAGCCCCCCAGACCAAACTCCCTCCACTCCCTTTCACCCTCCCATTCTGGGAGGCAGTGCAGACACAAGTTACAGTACAGAAGACACTATTTTGAAGCATCTTCACCTGAGGGTTTAGATTTTTGTGGGAGCAGGCCCCTTTAAAGTGCATTGCAGCCGTGCATATCTGTTTGGTCACAGCTGTAGAGGGGTCGATTGGGCAAAAATCGTCACTTGTGTCTGCGCCTTGTGTTTCTTCTATTTTTTCCAGCCTTTGTGGATTTTTAATGAAACTGATCTTCAAGGCAGGGATTTTAGAAAATGGCCACATGTATTGTGTATAATTAAATCTTACTTACCAATATTCATCCAATAGATATGCAAGGGTGGAATTCCTTTGGGGGGATTACAGTGCAGAACCACAGAATCGCCACAATCGACATCAAGTGGCTCAATTTTCTCTTTGGGGAATTTTGGTATACCTGTAGCAGAACAAATAGTATCTGTCATTTTTTTTTACCTCTTGCAACTATGTCCCCTTGTCCACCATTTGTCCTAATAGCACCTTTGCACTTATACTGTTCCTTGTGGTCTGTGCATTAATTGCCCTTAATAACACGTATTCATGAAAGGTTTTAAACCTTTAGACCTTTTAAAAGGTTTTCTATTTTCTGATTATTAATACAGCTTCAAAAAGAAAACTCAGGTTACCACCTTGGATATACTGAGCTATGAACCTACCTGTCAGGGAAGTCTGGAACAAAAAAAAAAAATCAGCATACATTTTTTTACTATACTGACTCATTTCAGCATACTCGCCCCTGCCCCCCACCAATGCTGGCTGAAGACCACGAAGGATAGGACTGGAGTGCAATGTGGCCTGGGAACATCACTGGCATAATTGCCTCCAGGGAGCCATTGGGAAACAATGCAAAATAAACCAGGCTATAACTTGTGCCAGGGGCTGGTCTGATTCCCCAGCTTTAGGTGAAATGGAGATGTGTCCCTACCCCTTCACCTCAGATATACAAGTTTTGCTGAGACCAGCTGCAGATTGGTTCTAGTGAGTCTACATTTTTCAGGAGCTTGAGTCTACACTCAGTTTTCAGGTTTAAATAATCTGATGCATCTGCACAAAGACTGCAGGATTTGGCCTTCGAGGACCAGGTATTATGATTTAGGATGTGATCCAATGAACAGCCAGTGATGTCAATGGGAAAACTCTCACTGATATCAACAGGATCTGAAAGGGGCAGAAAAAGCCATCAGCCTATCTTCAAACAGGATTTCACTGGCAAACAAATTATAGGCTGTTGCTCTTAATCTCATACAAGCAGGCGCTGGGATTATGTCCATGAGTAACAGGAGCTGGAAACACACCCAAAGGAACAAAGAAAAGCCAGAAGTTAGGAATTGCTACATGGAAATGCATCTGTGAAATGCAACCCCTCTTCAAACAAACCCAGGCACTACCTCCTACTTATATTCCAAGCAAGTCCAAACTGGTACAAGTTTCAGTTTGAAACAGTTCAATATATAATTATGCCAGGGTAAAAGAATGAGAGAGTCATGGCTATGAAGAACCAAAGTGAGTCAGTAAAGATTAATGACTTGTATGCAATGCTAGTCGAGTGAATTCCAGTGGAGTTCTGCTGGAACAATGTTCAATATCAAAGCAAGGGTGTGACTGCGGACCAGATATTGGGTAAGATCCTCAGCTACAATAAATCAGCACAGTCACACTGAAGTCTTCAGTGCAATAGAGATATGCTCCAGACAAGGCCAATAGTATATGACTCGGTTATCATTAAGACCCTTGCATTTGTATATTAAGGGTCAGATTGTGATCACGGCTGAGGCTAGCATAACAACATAAGAAGGAATAATGCTGATTTTTGCCAGGATTGCAACTTTTTATGCAGTGCAATAGAGATATGCTGCAGACAAGGCCAATAGTATATGACTCGGTTATCATTAAGACCCTTGCATTTGTATATTAAGGTGTCTCTCGGTGCTCTGCTCCTAGAGAGGAGAAACTGCCAGGGAGAGAGACAGAGCCCTGGCAGGTCATAACGAGCCCAGCTGAGTGTTGCCAGGGTAACGAGCCCAGCTGCGGGTTGCCGGGGCAACTAAGGAGAGCCAGCTGCCTGTAGGGGGCAGGGCCTAGCCCTTATAAAGCCCAGGGCTGAGGCCAGGCTGGTGGTTCCCTGCCAGCAGCTGGAGAGGTAGGAGTTTCTGTCAGCCAAGATATGGGAAGAAGCCTGACTTGCAAGTACAGCTCACTATAGACCTGAGAGGATTGGGCACTATGGTTTAGCCAGGAGGCTTTATGTTTGCGTTACAGCCAGGAGGTTCTAGTTTATGTTCGGCTTACATATTATACTGGAGGCTTGGGTGAGGCTGTAGGGGTTGGAGGAGGCCTCATAGGGACCCCAGAGGTGTGGGGCCCCTGAGTGCAACCAGTGGGTTGCGGGCGGGGAGTATAGACCCTGGGTTAT